TTTAAATGCTTTTTTAGAAATTTTAGGTGAAAATGGATTTTCCCATAAGATTTGAACTATTATTCTACACCAAAGTCTATTCACCAAAAGACATGAATGTAAATCGACGCATTTGTTCAGAGTATTAAATATTTGTATCAAACATTCTGGTGATAATTTCGAAATCATTTTTTGCCGTCAACCTCAACTTGAGTAAAGGAGGGTGAAAAAAGGTAAGGATAAGAGAAACGAATAGTGTTTTGTTGTTAAATATATATAAAGATATATAGTTTTTTTTTTTAAAAAAAATTGCTTTTGTATGTGCTAATCTATCCTGTTTATATAAAAAAGGGAGGATCGTACAAAACTCAAAATCGTCATTTTAATTTGTAGATGGAATTTGTAATTGAATATCTCCTTAATAAAGTAAAAACGAAATGATGTGGCTTGTAAATTTCGTGGCTATGCAAACTTTAAAAAACAAAAAAACAAAAATTCCTTTTATTCAATCCAAAAGGGTGTACATACAAGAATTTTTACCAGTATAAATTCAGGTCGTAAATGAGAAAAGGTAGGCTTGTACTTTTTATAATTATTTACTTTGCATAGAGAATTTCTTTTTTTGTTAAACTTCAATGCAAAAGTCATGTTTTGTATGGGGCTTTCGTTTATTTAATTAATAGTCTCACAACTGTGTATAATACGTCATTTTAAATCTGATACGCAGATTTTATTAAAAAAAATTTTTTTGATATTCGTTCACCATTTTTTTTCAATGACCTTTTACAAGTTTTACAAGATGAATAATAGAATTTTTTCCCATTCCTCCACAAGAAACTCTCTAATTCCCTAAGATTTTTGGCCTACGCAATTCCACGTTTCTTTTAAAGGTTTTCAGGTCTGGATTATTCCATAACCTCCGAGACATTACTATAAAGGAATTTCTTGTCCGCCATTTACTCGTAACATACTGTGGCACTTCCGGGAGTTGCTTTTCTAATATTTCTGTATAGAATTTTCTTTTAATACTATATAACTTAAAAATTTAATTTGTTATTGATAAAACTAAAAGCTGAATTTTGTTATTTTTTAAAATAAATTCAATATTTATTTTTATTATTATAAGATTAATTTTAATTAATATAAAATACTAAAAAAATTATTTAGAATTTCATCAATAAAAATACTTATTAAATAATATATTTAAATTAATATAGTCCTATTTATTTAAGCGTAATTTTTTTGTAATAATTAATTATTTATCTTTTCTTTACTTTAAATAAATAAAAATCTATACTAAAAAAAATTAGATAAAAGCTAAACAAATTTTTGATATAAATAATCACAGATAAATAATTTTTTATTCTATATTAAAACATTAATTATTATATCAAATTTATAAATTTTGATAAGATTTTTTATTATAAATTTGTATTAATTTAAATTTTTTTATTTTTAATAACTAATATATTATCATATACACTGGCCTACCATAAATTACCAGATTTTAGTCATATGAATTAGCGTTAAGTTTCACAATCAATGATTTCTTCATATTGTACATATAAACAAAAAAAATAAATTGTTTTTGTTTTTTTTTTAATTTTAAATGCATGAAAATGAGCTGTTAGAAGCTCAATGTAAACATATTATTGGCGCTTATTTGAGTGATATTAGTCAAAATATTATTTCAGTTCAACTTGACATTTTTACTAGTATAATAAATTATACAATTAAAAGATACAAAAAACAGGTTTTGCAATACCTAAAAAATGTCTTGAACATTCAAAAATCCTCTCTCAACATGATATTTAAATATTACAATATATTATTCATACTAATCAGTTTTTTCTTTTTGATAATATAGCTGATAAATTAAACTCTAATTTTAACACAACTTTACATAATAGTACAGTTAAATGTATCTTTATGATATGACCTAAATATTTGTAATAAAAAATAAGAATTTTAAAAGTATTTAAACAAAAAATTTAATTAATTAGAATAAATTTTATTTTTTTTAATAGTTTAATAAATATTTATTATTTTTTTAATTGTTTTGTCTATAAATTATAAACAATTTATTTATAAATTAAAATCATTTCATTTTTAATTACTTTTAAAAAATTAACACTTTTATAATAAATTTTATGATGTTTCTAAGTAAAAAAATGTAATTAACTAGTGATTTTTTAAAGATAAATAAATATATAATTAAAAAAATTAAAATTTTAAATTTATATCTATTAATATCAAAAATATTAAAAATATTATCATTTAATAAGTCTTAATGAAATAAATCTAATAAAATAAATTTTCTTTTTAATGATTATTATAAAATATATTATTTTTAAAATTGAAAATTGAAAAATTAATATATATTAATAATTATTAATTTAAAAATTTAAAAATATTATTAAATATATTTTAATACGATAAATTCAATAAATTTTATTTTATCTTTTTATAATCATTAAATATCAAAATATTTTAAGTTTTTTAAAATATTTTATAAATAATTTATTCTTATAATTTAAATTTTTATGTAATATTAAATTAATTATTATAATATTTAATTAATAAAATTAAAAAAATTATATTTATTTTTTAATATAAATTATTAATTACAAATATTAATATTGAAGAAAGTTTTAATAATATAATAATCATTATTTTATTAATATTATATTTATTAAAATTAAAGATATTAATAATTAATTATAATCAGTAAATAATTAATCAAATATTTTGACTGATTGATTATTTAACTAATAATTTAAATTAATATAATTAAGTAGTTTTAGTTTAATAAAGAGTTTTACTTAATTAAATATTGTAATTTTTAAAAATTCTAGTATAGTATTTTTTAAATTTCTTTATATTATAAGCAGATCTACATAATGATTAGATTATATAGTGTATATGATTTATAATTATGATATATTAGATATTATTGATATTCTAATATAACTAATATAATTGACATAATAAAAATATATAATATATAAGATATATTAAACAAAATAGATATTAAAATACTATTTGTTATATCTATATATGTATTTGATTTGATTATCTCATCTGATTCAGAACTCTCATTATTTAAAAAAATAATTTTTAATGATTTGGTCCTTTTTTTAATATTTATCTTATATATTAAAATATATTATAACTAGAGAATAGTTTTAGAAACTATTGTTAAATCTAAAGTATAAGTATAATAAAAAGATCAATCATATATTAGCTTAAAATTTGAGTGGATGAATATTAAGACATCAAAGTGTATAAAATATATATAGTTCTTCACTAACACTTTAGACTAATTAAATTATAATTGAAATCTGATATATTAGAAATTTATTAGAAAAAATATTAGCAAAATTTTTATAAATAATTTGAAAAACTAATAATATATTATATAATTATATATAAATAAATATTATTTAAATATATATAGGATTGAAAATCTTAAGTCAATGATGTTTCAAAATATTTTGTGAGATTTTATATTATGTGATTAGTAATTAACTAATGAAAAATAATATTAATCATTTTTTTTATATAGCAATTTAAAATTATAATAATTTAGATTAATATTATGATTAATTATCATAATATCAACTCAAATTATTATAATTTTAATTAATAATATATATTTCAAATTCAAGATAATTATATAAAAATTATTTAATTTTAAATATTTATAACTTTTATATAGAATTTATTTTGAAAATTGACTGATAATTTAATAGAGCTTATCTTAAGAATAAAGTTATTAGTTTATTTTTTCTAAATTTTATTTTTTTAAAGAATTGAAAATTTTTAAATATTATATATATTTATATTATTGAGTATAAACTTTCTGCATCATATTATCACTGAAAAATTTTATAAAATAAATAGATCTAAAAATATTAATAGATGTTTATTAAAATAAATTGAAAATATTTGATATAATAAAATAAATTCTGAAGATTTTTAATCAAAGAAAAAAATCTACAAGCAAATAAGTTAACTTATTTATTTTTAATAAGATATATTATCTTGATAATCAATATAGCATTTAAATATATATTTTATTCTTTTCTTTTGATTAAAGAATTATAGAATAATAGGATAGCTTTTTTGTTTAGATGAGTTTCATCTTTTTTAATATTCAATATAACACTTAAAAACTATCAAGTAATGCTAACATAAAGACTATAAGAATAAGTTCAAATCAAGCTAAATATCAATAATCAAGGATTACAAAAATGTAACTAAAAGTATTTAGAAAGGTAAAGAAATTAGTATAATTAGATTGTATTGATACAGTACAATTAGATTATACCAATCAGTTAGATCATACTATTATAAAGAATTGATAGAAAGAAAATAACTAAAATAGTATAAATGATAACTAATAAATTAAGTTATACTAAACAGTTAGGTTACACTATGCAAATTATGCTATAATTAAGTTAAATTATATAGATTAGATTATCTCAGATTATATATTATACTCAGAATATATCATTATATTTAGATTATATCATTACACCTATATTATATCATTATATTATCTAATCTAAATAGTATTGTACTGCGAGTGTTATGAAAATCGTGGAGTCAGATTAAGAGTATATCATATGAATTGATGTTGTTTTCATACTAGGGTATCCTTAAAATGTATCCCGGATTCAGGCTTTTATCCTAGACCGCAACCTACATCATATCACGTGATATATCCATCAACTCCTTCTCGTAATACCTATAACTTTAATTAAGTTTATAGCATATAAAAAATCAAATCATATGAATTAATTATATGATCAGACCACGTGCCTTTATTACGCGTCCATATAAAAATTCTCTCTTTTCTTGTTTCAAAAAAAAAATAAAATAAAATAAAATAAAAAATGAGAAAAAAGCATATCAAAGAACAAAATAGTTGCGCAGCACTCGTTCGCCCAACGTTAAATTTCATCTCTCACGTTTATTGTCCACCTCAACAGAATTATCAATCAATTCAAAATCATATCATGACTTCCTCGGAATGGTATCAACAACGACAAAGAGTTTCTCATTGGCAGCAAAGGCCATGCGTTGTATTATCTGAATTCTGTCAGTTTCATAAATTACCTAACCCAAAATACGTTTTACGTTCCAATGATGGGAAGGCTTATTGGTTTGATTGTTTTATTGGGGAACGCGCCTTCGCTCCAAGTTATATTTGCAAAAACTGTTGGCACCAAAACGATGCAATTGATTATATTTCAACCCAAACATTTATTCGCTTATTAAATGAATATAAACAAACAACAATTGACATTAGATCAACAAGCAGGATGAAAACAAATAAACCACGTGGTCAACATATTAGATTTCAAGACGTTGGAATGGATCATGATCCAAATCCGGAGAGAGATATTTTAAATAAATGTCCAGGAAGCCGTCCAAGGGCTAACCTTGAGCTGTTTCACAAGGAGTTAAAAACTTATCAGGAAAGAAAGAGAAAAGAGAAAGAAGAAAGACAAATCTTAAAAAAAGAAGCAATGGCTAAAGGGAAGAGAAAAAATCTTGCACCACTATTTTCTTTTCAAACATCAAACAACGTCGATAGTGATGATGATCATCACAGCACTTTTTTCATGGGTAACGTACCATTGTCAACCGTTCAACCGTCCAAGTTTGATCTGGATTTTGGAGGAATGGCCTCTTTTACTCAACAACCATTAGAGCAACCAACATTTGGACAGCCCTCGGTTCAATCAACATCAAAAGTTCAAAACCAATTGCAATTTTTTGATCAAAATAAACCAGTACAACATACTTTCACACAAACATCTGTTCCACTTCCCGTGAATATTCAAGAACAGGTACAAATGTCATTGGAAACCTTGTCTCTTTCACAGGAATTTTCCGTACAAGAGAATTCAACAATTTCACCTGCGGTCACTATAAAGGAAGTGTCGGAAACGGAAGATGATGAACAAAAAAACGCGAATGAGGATCAACAAATAAAAACACTCATCCTTGATATGTCATCCATCACATTTGATTGTTTTAATAATTCAAAAGTCCATTCAACAGCCTGGAATCACATTGATTTTCGAGCAAAAGATGCGTAAAATCATTATTGCTTACGGGATAAAACAAATACAATATAGCTTAGTTTCCTTATACAGTATGTAATCTTCCTGATCAGATAAATAAATTTAAGTACAATGCTAATATTTAAACCATTTCCATGGTTATTTTTACGTAAATCATGTACAACATTTAGAATAATACTTTATATTTACTAAAAAAAAAAAATTGAACCAGGATGGTTATTTATTGCGTATAATTACTCGCTTAAATTTAAATATATATCATCCCGCTTTGTATTATTAAGTAATGAAATCAAAATGAAATAAAGACTTTTTTTTTTTAATGAAAAGATATTTAAATGTTAAAAGTTACATGATCACACACTCCTCATCTTTTTTACCGTTACCGTTGGACGCTCCATCAATTCTTTTCTTTAATTTACCAGCTTTACCTTTTCCACTACCTTTTCCATTATTGCCATTAAGATTACTATGATTACTATCTTCAGCAGCCAGAATTGAATATTGTCTATTACCATACCAACTTGAATCTGCCGTATTTGGAGATCCAGGTCTCGAGCTTGATGATGCTGATACCGATGAATCTACACTATCTGCTAATGATATTTGTGAATGCATTGAATCTTCCTTTTTGGTTTTTATAGAAAATCTATTACGCTTTGTTGAGGTTGGCGGATGTGGTGTTGATAAACTATTTACTGGGTTTGTTATCGTTGGAGCATCTATTTCTGAAGATATATTTTTATTATTGAACCTTGAATGAGGATCTTCAATCTTATTGTTGGAAATAGTCAGGTTTGAGGTTAGATGAGGCGATTCACTTTTTTTAAATATAATAAAAAGAGAGAAGAATATAAGACCTACCACTTCAAGCGGAATATACCTTATCGCGCGATTTTGTAATGAACATGGCCATGGAGCTTCTGGAGAACATTTCGAATGACACACCATATTACATTCTATTTGTTTTGAGAATATAAAAAAAAATTTTATATATATTTATTATACGTCACCACAAATCAATAAAAAGAATGATTAACATACCTTCACACATGACCACGTGTTTTTTCACGGTATTATGACATATTCTGCATTCAACCGCTAAAAATGTAACAAATTTTTAGTTAGGTTCACTTTCGTATAAATTATTTAAGTAATAAGTTAAGTAATAATTAAACACTAACGTTTGCTAAATGAATTCTTCACGAATCGATGCGGAACCATTGGTGTTGCCGCAAATAATTTTGTCGAAGTTGGAGATAGTTGAGGCATCACGGCAAGGTTGGTCTGAGAACCAACTGGTGTTATTGGCGAAGGTTGCGGCGTAATTGGTATTCCACGGGGAGACAGAGTTTCTGATAATTCGTGTTCTCCGTTAGGTTCATCATAACTCTTCTCTATAATGGTGTCGTCAAGATTACTACTAGCATTACTAAGTGAACTTGGCTTAATTTCAGCAAGGTTGGTGTCAGATATTATCCTCCGTAAAAATGGTAAACTCTCTTGATTTCTCAATTCTTTTATTGTCCAATTATTTTTAATCCAATCATGTCTAAATAAATCTCGTGCTGTCGGTCTCATCGAAGGAGATTTATAAAAACATTTTTTAAGGAAATCTGTAAGATCATCTGACAAACTTTCTGGTAGAGGAGGACAATCATCTTCCACTATTCTAAACAGAGCGGTCATTGCAAGTAGATCTGAATATGGAGGTTTACCCGTTAATAATTCGATAATGGTACAACCTAAAGACCAAATGTCCGATGCCGTGGACGCCCCTTTAAGTTCAATGATTTCGGGAGCCATCCAATTTGGCGTTCCTGCAACTTCTGTACTAACTTGTTCCATCATTTTAAGGTTTAATGAGACACCAAAATCCGATAATTTAACATTCCCATTCTTTGTTGTAAGAATGTTTGCAGCTTTAAGATCACAATGCACGACTTGCTTGTTATGTAAATATACCAACCCTTCCAATATTTTAACCACATAAGAAACAACCAATTTTTCTGGAAAAGTTCCAAATGATTTAAGTGTATGTAAAAGGGAACCATTTTCCACGTACTCCAATATAATGTTAATATGATCGGTAGTCATAATGAATGACTCATATTTGACCACGCTTGGATGAGAAAGCGATTTCAAAAGTTCGACCTCTTGCATAAGCTGTTCGATCTCATCAGGGCTCTTCCCCTCAAGTTTAATTCTCTTAACAGCAGCCATTTGACCTGTTCCCAGATTTAATGCCCTGTAAACTGCACCGAATTGTCCTTTTCCTATACAATTACCCAATTGATATTGTGACATGATTTCATCTCCAACTTTTAAAACGAGTTTCTCTCTCGGTGCATCCCCAAAAGAAGTTGTTCCACCGACACTTTCGCGCCTCTTAAATTCACTATGAACGGGTATCCTATCATTTTTGTTTGGTGATATTTCCGAAGTACGATCGCTCTTGTAGCGTACATGAGTTTTTCGACTTGATCGAGTAGAACTATTTCGGCTAACTGGCATTTCTGATTTCGTTGGAGCTGGAGGAGAAATTGGTAAAGGTGCAAGCCTTTCGGCAAATTCAGATTCAACCAGTTCCTCTTCCTGTTTTTGTTCCAAGGTTTTTGTAAATAATTGACCCATCGTCACACTTTTTCGTAAGCTGCGTCTCTTTTTATGAAACGATATACCAGAATTCGAATGATCGATATCGCTATTATCCGTTGACAATTCTGAAGTTTGGTCGTCCGGTATGTTTTTATCAGCCGAAGGATTTATTGTCAAATTTGGATCGATATTTTCCGACTGAGTAAGCGCACTCTCGTTTTTCACGGTTATATTATGATGATAATTTTTACTATGATTATTATTACTATTGATAATATTATTTTTTTTAACATTATCATTATTATTATTATTATTATTATTATTAGAGTCCAATATTTCATTCCTATTTACTTTGTCTGATTTCCTTATTTTTAACGAATCCGATTTTTCAGATTCTTTAAAGTCTAAATCCTTAAGTTTTTCCAAAATTGGTGGTTCGATTCGTTCACTTGATAAATCAGAAGCACGACGCGAATATTTTCCTTTAGAAACACGTGCAATCGCTAATATTGTAGCTACCACCTACATGATGATAACAGGATGAATTAATAATAATATATGACAAGTTTCAAGAATCAAACATGATAATGATAATGATAATAATGATAAATTGTTCATTTAAAATTATACGTACCTTCTCCATACGTTTTGCTTCATATAAATCGACAGTTTCAAATAAATCCGAAGTATGTAATCCCAACTAAAAAAATCAAGATGATAATTAATTCAATTTTTTTTTAAATTGCAAAGAATTGAATGAATTTAATCAAATGTAATTAAAAAATACCTGACGAGCCGCGTTTAAAAAATTATTGATATTTTCCATCTATGTATTTGAAGAATAAAGCCAATGTTCAATTAATTGAAGCAACATATTATATAAATGCTAAATGATGTATGAATTAAATTTTTTTTTTGCATAAAATGGTTCATACTTTTACAAAAGCCAGGTCCTTACGACTAATTTGAGGTATAACATCCGGTCGTAATCTGTTCATCATACTTTATAAAAAGAAGTGATTTAATGATAATGAAAAAGATTTGTTAGAGAACTTTAGTCAACATTGTATAAATTTGTTAACTAATGAATTCTGGTCTAATGCTATTAAAATTGGATATAAAGGAAACATATTAATTAAACTTTTTTAACATTCTCCCATTCAATAAGATACCGCCACTTGGCAACCCACCTGCACAACAAAACGCCGTCTTTGAGAACTTCGTGCAGGTCATTACTAGGCAGTTTCAAACCTAAGGTTTGTTCAATATATTCTTTTGCAGCTATTTGGTTTTTTGAAAATTGTTCCTCTCGCAGAGATTCGACGAACAATCGATCGGTTTTGCTTGTACTGATTGAAGGTCGTCTAGGTTTATGCTTTTGAGCGCTAAGGCGATATGGTTTAGTAGCATATAAGGAAAGTTCTGAACTCATACTTTTAACTAAAGTGGTTGTAAGGACTTTCTTTTAGAATATTTAATAGGAAATTAAAAGAGATAAATTTGTACGAGGATGATATATTGAGCGTAACCAAGTACATAAAGATTGAGGGAATAAAATTCGGGAAACTGTGCATTGTTTTACTTTGTGTATGTTACACTGCTCCAATCATGTAAAAAATTTTATTTCAGCCAAGATTTATTTTGATTCCCCTGAAAAAAAAAACGAGAAGTCTAATTAATTATTATTTACCTTTATAAAAAATTTTCACAACGAATTAACATAAATTAAATGTACTAAAGTAACTGTATTGTAGGATATACATGAATTTACACTAAAATTATATAAGAAAAAAACCCATATGGTTTCTCAACAGACTACCTTTGGTAGAGAAACTTGTGATGATCTTCCGGAAAGAGAATAATTGATGTTATTTATATCGTATGATTACAATAATATAATTCTGATTATTCCGAAGTGTTTTCTTGATCAAAAGCGATCCACTTATAATGAGACCGACAAAAAAGGTCATAATATTATTTTGTGACTAAGAAACGGTAATCCTGAATTAAAAAAGTAAAACAATCCTACATAAAGAAAATTTTGTTTCTTCTTTCTTTAATTGAATTTGTAAGGTGAATACAATTTTTGAATTCTCGTTGGTTGAATTTCTTTAAGGTTGTGTTATTATTTTTAAAATTAACAAGTTGTTTTTCTATTACCAAGATCGGATTCACGCTTTATTTGATAAATATTTTAATTTTGGGTGTGATCGAGTTTGATCACCCACATTTATCTCAACCATCAAAGATGGAAGGGGGTGTGAATCAACTTCGATAGAAGTTGTCCATCTCTTTAACAGTATTTGGCAATGATAACATTTGTTTATCAGATGACTTCTAAAATGAATATCGAAGCATTGTCTTTGCGGATGGATCGTAATACATCAATAATAGGTAACACTAAGCATTGCTAAGTAAAC